AGTACCGACCCCTGAGGAACACCACTTGTCAAAAAAAGTATGGAACGCTTCACGAATTTGCGTGTTTCCTCCGTGCCTAGTGCAGCGGGCACAGAGTGCTAAGGGCTGCACTAATGGTATGTGATGCAGACGTGGAGCTGAGGGCCCTGGGGCAGTGGATCTGCCTGGTTACAAATCGTCTGCAGACCAGAACAGCCATGTAGCAGAACTGTGGAGGTCTGGCTTCCAACGTCTGCCTCTCATCTGGATTCTCTGATACCTAAAAAGGAGTGAGATAACAAGCTTTTCCCTGAGTCAGGGTGCTAATGGTTTCTCTTTTTTTTTCTAGCTCCTTATTTTCATACAACTGATAGGAAGTTAAGAGTCTTTGGCACTCAGTTATCCCTTGTGCAAGTCTGAGGGTGCGTTCAGAAGTTGTTAGGGGAGAACAGACACAAATGCACACATGAGCACACTATATAGAGTCCCTGCAGTCATATAAGCCTTATTTCCGTAGGAAGCAGGGCAAAGCCACATCTGAAATTAGAAAAAGTTTCAGATCCAACCTGCCCTTCCTTTTTTAGCATGTTGCTAACTTGCAAGCCTCAGGAGACTGGATAGAAACATAAATGTCATATTTTTAGGCAAACTTAATTGTTCCCTATGCAATTTATTATTTTACACATGGTTTTGCCTTTGACTCATTAGGCTGAAATTACTTTCAGACATGTTTTTGGAAAATGTGTTTAGTAATTTTTATCTTTGAGTCCAGGTGAATAGGATGACGATTTGAATAGCCTCCAACGTTAGTCTCACACATGTTGATAAATGATTGTGCTTCCCAATGTGTTTAGTCTGTAATTGCCAAAGCATTTAGAAGGGCTTTGCAAAGCGTAAGGCAGGGGGACAAGGGTGCTTTAATTTATTAGCAGCTGGGAGACAGGGCCTCTGAAACATTTATCTTCTTTCCATATGCTTCTTGCAAAACTTTTCCCGTCTGCGTAAACGTGACAGTGATGCTTTGTTTTATCCTCAGCTACAGGATCTAAGTTTTTGGAATGCAAGCAAAAGTCACTGTCTTGGTCTGAAAGTCATGGTGTTTGCTTGGGCTGGGACGATAGAAAGGGGTGGTCTGGTGACAGGACAACCACCTTGACTTGAGCAAGTCATGAGCTACCTCCCCTGAAGTGAATGCAATAAGCCTGCATAAGGAAAGCGAGGCATGACTGAAGTACTTCTGCTGTCCCCTGATGTTGTCTTAGCATCCTGATGGCCTTCAGCTGTCCTAACTTACACCAGGACCTGCTAGCCCATAACTCGCATAGAGTTAACACTTTACAACTCTACAAAACTCTATAACTCGCACAGAGATGATTTCATGCCACTGACTTGCTTTTGAATGTTTGTCAAGATAGCTCTTGATGATCTTGGTTACTCTAGCTAGAGGACAGTAAGAAGCAGAGTACCGCAAGGCTCTGTCCTGGGACAAGTCCTATTTACTATATCAACGAGCAGAAGAGGTGTCAGAGTACACACTTGCAAAGTTTACAGGTGACACCAAACAGGAGACACCAGTCAATATGCTTGAGAGCAGGGCCACCATCCCGAGACCTGTAGAGGCTGCAGGAATGGGCCAGCACAAACCTTAGGAAGTTCAGCAAGGACAGATGCCAAGTGCTGTGCCTGGGAAGGATGAGCCCTTTGCAGTGATAAAGGCTGGGGTGGTGAGCAGCTCTGCAGAAAAGTGAGTGGGCGGTGAGCTGAACGTGAGACGACAGAGCACCCTGGCCACAGAGAAGGCCACCAGCTTTCAGGCTACTGGATTTAGGGAAGTGATTATCCCCTTCTACTACCCAGCACTAGTTAGACTACTTCTGGAGTATTGGGTCCAGTCTTGAGCTCCCCAGTCTGAGAAAGATACAAACAAATGGGAGCAAATGCAGAGAAGGGCGATCAGGATGATCAAGGGCTGGAGCACTCTGTGAGGAGGTACTGAGACTGGGGCTTGTTCAGCCTGGAGAAGAGGTAGTTTTGAGGACCTCATAGCAGCCTGCCCCAGCTGCAGGGATGTTATTGAGAAGAGCCAGGCTCTTCACAGAGGTGCGTGGTGGGAGGATGAGAAACAGCAGGCGAGAGAAACAAGAGAACTTGGTCCAGCTGGTTATAAGAAAAAAATGTCACCTTTTTCGCTACAAGGACAGTCAGGCAGTGGAGCAGGATGCCCAGAAAGGTTGCACTGCCTTCGTCCTCGGAGATTTTCAAGACCTGACTGGATAAGGCCCCAAGCAACTTGATCCAGTCCTGTAGCTGGTCCTGCTCTGAGCAAGAAGTTGGGCTACAAACCTCCTGATATATCTTCCAGCCTGAATTGTTCTATGAACTTCTTTTTATTTTAAACATGCATTTGCCCTTGAGGCAGGAGAGAGGACAGGGGTCTGTGGTTTGTTAGAACCTTGAAACTTGTAGGACACTATTGGGACTATTTCTGGCTTTATCTGCTCCACGCAGACCCATACAGGAGAACACCACAAAAGCCCTGGCCCTGTGCTCATGGGCTTGCTGGGTAGAGCTGCCTGCTCTGTCAGATGCCACCGCTGAATGACAGGAAAGAGTATGACCATAACAGCTGTGCCGGAACAGTTAGTTTAGCTCTTCTGAAACAACAACAACAAAAAGGTAGCCTGAGGTGTCAGCTGTCCTACATAAATCTGTTTTATTTCAAAAACACCTCTAGTTCCTTTCTGAGGTTACTCAGGCAAATGATATGAGTGGCCCTTGACAGTTTTCTCATGTTTCCACTGACGTCTACAAAACCCATTTTTTTAGTACTGAGGCTGTTGTCAACCTCCTCTTATGTTTGACACTGATTCAAATAACCTCTTGATTGAAATAACCTCTCTAACTTTCCATGCCCGAGTGGAGAGCTTCCCTGGCTTTGCTAACTATAGTGCTATCTCTTGCTCAGCATTTCGTTATGTATAAACACCAAGGATGGATTCCTTTTCAGCTGCATCATTCTTTTTTGGTTGCCACATGTTTCTTCATGTCAAGGAATATCTGTTTCTTGTCTCTGAGTGTATTCCTCCTATTGATTCTACCTCTGGGGCCATTTCTCCTTTGCACAGATTAACTTCTGCCTCTCCTCCCCCCAGTATGGCTTAATTAATCAGCTTAATCATGTTGGCACATCCCTCTTTACTTGGGCCAGTGAATGAGAAGCCCTGCACAGTGTTAACTTCACAGGGCTTCACAGTTGGATTTAACATTCCGGTCTGCTCCTCTGCTTACTGCACACTACGGTGGAGACTCTGGCATAGGGGAGGTGCTGGCTTTGGAAGTAGTGGTCTGGAGTAGCTGAGCTGCCCACATTCCTAACAGAAGGACTTGGGGTGCAGTTTAGCTCCTGGAGTCTGAAAGAGTGATTCAGACCATTGGTTTACAGCCTTCTTCCTAAACCTAATGTTTAGCTGAGCCTCGAGAAGGGCAAGGTGCTGCCAGTCTCTCTGCAGACATGCAGTGGCACGATCCAGGAGGCACAGTCTGTACATCCTTAGCACTTGTGTTATGTCCAGCGCAGAGCACGAGGTTGCTCTCTGGGAAGACAGGATCATGGTTTATGGTTGCAGGGGTGTGGAGGCTGTGCAAAGCAGTTTGCATGGGCTAAAATGCATGACAGGAAAGTGGAAATTGGGACTTGAGAGCTCCCTTGCCTGCTACAGTAACTCATCGCATCATTCCTTCAGCCTCTTAATATCTGGGCTTCTCTTGGCTCAGGGAGTGGATGAGCCCCATCTGCTCAGCCTCAGGTGGGGCTTGGACAAAGACTCTTCTTAATGCTGGTGGTAGCCTGCTAGATGCCTAGTGTTATCCTCCCAGGAAACGGGAAGGCACAGACTGGTCTTGAAAAGAGGAGTTTGTGACCCATCTTGGATGTATCTGAGGTGCACAGCACTCCGAACTAGCCCATGGGCCAGGAGCCCAGCCCTCAGACACTGGGACACCTGCTTTCAGATACACATGGGCTCGAAAATACTGTCAAAATTCCTGGATTTCAGGCTCTTCTGCAAGCAAGGGCTGCAGGTGCCAGAGGATGGCTGTCCTGCTGGAGCTGCACCCCTGTGTTTGCATGCTGGTGGAAGTGATGAGGGTGAGGGAGGCTGTGCATGGTCGGGGGGAGGGGGTGATAGGGCTGGAGATAGTAGCATTTCTGCAGGCTCCAGTGGTGGATGAAGGGTTGAGAAAGAGGCTGCGGGGGTACGGGGCTGGGCATGGGTGGCAAAAGTGAAACAAGAGCAAAGTATAACAGTAATAAAGCACCAGAAGTGACAACAAGCCCTTGAGGCAGCAGGCTGAGATAGTGTGTTTTTGTTTCATGAACTGTTATCTCCTCTGGGCTGGAGTTGTTGCTGGTTTTGCAGGGAGATAAAAGTAAGGATTTGGACAGAACTTTGCTCTTTGCCAAGCCTGAAGTTGCCAAGAGAGGGCAAGGGAGAGGGGACATCCCTCGCTTGCGGGAGGCTATTCCCTCTGCCCAGAAAGCACAAATCTACTTCCCTCCTTGTTGCTGTCTGCAGCATGTTAACTGTGACAACCATGTGAATTTACCCCAGTTTTTCAATGCAGCTGTGCTGTCTAGCCCTTGGATTGCTGCAGCAGGGGTTCCAGGCTCTCCGTTATTTACTGGTTGGTTGGTGTGACTCTGTTTGCTCCCACTTGTTGAAAGTGGATCAGGTCTCTTGAGCTGAATTTTGCTCTTGTAGCTAGAATAATGTGAGTTTCATTTTTGCTTCTGTTTTGTTTGACAGAAAGTGAAACAACCGACAGCGTTCCAAGCGATGAAGAAAATGCAGAGGTAAGCGTTTTCTGGATTTTTAGCAAATTGGAGCAAGGTCTCAAGAACAATGTCCTGACATATTCTCCCCCCTTCTCCATTTGCAACTCTGTCTACCAGTGGAGTAGAATAGGCTGGATGAACTACTTAGGAATATGGTTTAATGGGGATTAGGGACAGTTGGACTGGATGATCTCTAAGGTCTTTTCCAACCTAGAAATCTATGAAATCTATGAAATGAGTATTCATTTTAATAATAGCTGAGGGAGAAAAACAAACCAGGAAGGTTCAAGCGAGACAGATGTTTGGATGGTTGTCTGGTAGAATGGATATCTCTACAAGTTCTTTCCTCCTCATCTGTCCAAACTACAAGGAAATTAATTTGCATGATAAATAACACGTTCTGGAGAGCCATCAACGGTGCCAGCTGGTTTGTTGATATGGAGCAAACCAGCGGACTTACGTGCACGTTAAGTGTGTGTATGTGTGTGCTCGGACATTGCTGGGTGGTGAGCATTTTACCTTGGTTGAAAGCATGCTTGCTTTGTTTTCCTTAAATGGCACCTGAACCCATACAATTGGAGGAAATGCTTACACCTGTGATAGAAATGCAACTTGAATGTTTTGAGACATGTGAGGCAAAACGCTTTCCCGAGCGGTCAGTTGGGTTTTGCTGTGTAAATGAAATCCTTGGAGAAAATACCCACCCCATGAACTCTTCCTGAACTGCACCTATGCAAAAGCAGCGCTCATCTTTTTTTTCGGGGCTGCCATCAGATGACCAGAATTACCTATCTCCATAAGTACTTAAAGGCCAGGGGAAACTCACTGAAGGCACTTAGATGCCCTGTGCTCCAGCTGCATTTTTTCAGGCCTCTTGCAAATCTCTCTCCTGCTATGTGCGCCCCCCTCCCCCCCCCCAAAGCCCTCTGAATCCTTGAATCCTCCTTCTTGGAGAACTGCAGGTTGTGCAGCTGTATGACAGCAGGCGTACCCCTCTTGGTTTTGTCTCTTGTGCCTTGGTTAGAGAGGAGCCTGTATGTAGACTGCCAGTAAAGTCTCCCCAAACCTCCTTTGACAGAACATGGTGTTGCGGCATGCACGATGGGGAAAGGACTGGATGTTTGTCTTTCCTTGGTGAACCTCCTCCCTGCGATGGGGGACACCCCATCAAGTGACAGTGGTTTTCCCAGCAGGCTCACCTGTGTTGTCAGTTTGGGTGGTGCTGTTTGAGAGGTCTCGGCTCTCTGTGCCTGCCTGTTGACAGAAGGATGCTCTCTCTGGTAATGGAGGAGACACTTCCATTTGAAGCTCTGAGTGTTTGGTCATCTGTGTCCATCTTTGTCTCTGGCATACTGGGGATAAGGCCTTTATTTTCCATCAGAGGAGTGGGCAGAGCCTCTTGAGAGCTGGAGAGCCACCAAGGTTTAGGCACACAACTTCAGAAAGGGAGAAGTGACTGAGAGCAAAGACATTCAAAGGCAGTGGCTAGAGGCTCAGGCTTTTAGAGCTGAGGTAATTCCTGTGCAATTTGTGGATGTTTCTGTCTTTATGTTGTTACTCGGAGCACTTTGCAAAGTTGCATTTTCTCATATAGTCTTTGCTCTGTTTTGTTCCCCCTTTTTTAGGGCAGACTTCATTGGCAGAAGAAAAACATTGAGGGCAAACAGTATCTCAGCAATCTGGGAATGAGGAACACTTCTCATATGCTTCCCAGCATGGCAACGTTTGTAGCCAACAAGCCTGACCTCCAAGTCACCATCAAAGAAGAAAGCTGCCCACTGCCTTACAACAGCTCCTGGCCCCCTTTCCCAGACATCCCTCTGCCACAAGTAGTGTCCACAGCCTCCACGAGCAGCAGCCGGCCGGACCGTGAGACACGGGCCAGCGTCATCAAGAAAACGTCAGACATCACCCAGTCGAGAGTCAAGAGCTGCTAAGCCTTTGACAGTGTGGTTTTTTAGCTTTGTTTTGTTTGGTTTTGTATTTTACGTTTCTCTAGGAGAGGTTCATCCCTTGACGCACACAAGACAAACCTAAGGTAAAGCCTTGGCAATATAAAACATTGCTGTGTCCGACTCCGGTGCCGGAGTGTTTTTAACTCAGGACTCCAGCTGTCAGTGTGTACACCTGAACCCAGGCGGATTTCCAAGGTCGCTGCATAGGAAAACAACCCAAGAACTTTGGCCCACTCGCAGGTTCCAGTGTTGTCAGAAGAGGACCAACCGACCACAGGGGAAGTGGTGCTGCTGCGCTTCTTGCTGTCAAGGCTGCGATGGAACTGAAAGCCTCAGAATGGAAGAGAAAATGTGAACTAGCTGGAATATTTTTAAATAAAGAAAAATCTATTGTGAATATTGTACATAGTGCAGTACTAGCAACGTTGCAGTCTGCTTCTGCACCTTATTAAGAAAGCACTTACGAAAGGCCTTTTATTACCTTGCTCTACTTAATGGCACATTGAAGGTCCCTCCCCACCTGTATTCTTTTCCAAGGCTATTCTTGCTAAAGTGTCTTTAAAGAATAGAGGAAAGGAAAGGAAGTTAAAACTTCCCGTGTGGATTTCATACGTTTTAAGACTGCTTTTCTCATGTTTGTTTCTAATCTGCTATGCTTGAATGCCGCGTGGTACAATAGGAAAAAAAAAAGATACCTATTACAGAGATATTATGCAAATTCCCAGATTTAAAAAAAGAAGAAGAAAAATACTCTAATTCTAACCAGAGCAAGCTTTTTTATTTTTTATACAGGGGAATATTTTATTCAAAGTAAAATTCTAAAGTGAATATAATTTTTTTTAATCTTTTCTACAGCAAATTTATAATTTTAAGATTCAGTCCTTGGTTATCAGCAGTTATTACATCCTTGTGGCACATTTTTTTTTTTTAATTTTGTAAAGGTGAAATAGCTTTTATGAGCTCATGTAGCAATCAGATTATCCTGTGGATTGATAATAAATATGGTATATATAGTTAAATTTTTAATAATCCCCTTGTTTGTCTCTGTTTTTTAATCTTTCAGAAGCCCCAGATGGCATGGGTTTGATAGGTGAATGTGACCTCTCGGAGAGGGCAATTAGCATGAGCCACCTTTACAGTTTCTGGAGCACCCATCTAACAGGATGGGAAGTGCTGTGCTGGAGACAGCTCCAGGCGGAAAGAGGAGCTAGCACTTAAAGGTGGTGTGCTTGAGTTCGGCCTCATGTGCAGAGGTTGGGAGTTGAGGCACCTCTTCTGCTGTTATTCCATGGCTGGACTTCGAGCAAGTCACCTCACGGAAGGGATCTTGTGAAAGTCCATGCCCCGCCCAACGCAGGCTCGATTGTGCTTGCCCCATTCCTGGTAGATCTCTGTTTAGCTTACTCGCAGTTTCCTTGTCAGGAAAAATACCCGTGGGCAGAGTTTCAAGCAATAACTCCTCATTAGTGGAATGAATTGGAAGTCAATAAACATTCCCCAAGGCTTTTGACATCTACCACATGACGACAAGTTCTGATTCCTCTGGATCTTTGAGGGATGCTGCTGAGTATCTAATTAAGGGTGCACAGTGGCTTGCAGGGTTGCGTGGTGATGGTGAATGATGAGCTGTGCCATTGACTCGGTTAAGTGCTATATGCTTTCGCCTGCCACTGGCATGGCCAGGAGTTGAGAGCACTTAACCCCTTGCAGTTTTTCAGGCTGTTGGAAGTTGAATGGATTGATTCAGGTATATAGAATACATGGATGCAGAGTGTCCTTAAAGTGTGATTACCGTTCCCATACCAATCCGACAGATATACTGATTTGAGAGCTGTGTATATGGGGCTGATGAGCAGTAACCGTGCATGAAAATGGCTGTATCACAGGAAAATGGGCTAACTGGCTGTGGAAAAGGGAAAGCAAACAGTAGGATTTTGCTGTGTTCTTAATCTGATGCCACAATTCCAAATTTCAACACAAGACCATGTGAAAACTGTAATTTTGTCTTGCCAACCCACTGGCTGGTGGCCTAGGAAGACAAGGTGAGAGCTTTAGTTAGAGTTGGGAGGAGGAAGAAGCCCTGACTAGTATTTGAAGTGAGGCTGAAAACTCGTAACGGTCAAAACCATCATATGTAGATTTTTCTGGTCTCTGTCCCTTTCATTCAGTTGTGCATTTACCCTTCCAGTGGCCCTCTGGATCTAGAGACCGCAAGGTTTGGCCTTCTTCAAGGAGGCTGCATCAACGCACACGTGTGTGCAGGGCTGTTACAGTGAATCTCCAGTGTCCTGAGTCCTTTGCCAACAGGGTAATGAGGCTTATGGGAGGTTTCTTTTTCTTGGTTTTGGAGCTTGCTTGGGATTATTTCTGTATTCTCTTAATTGTCTGCTTTGGTGTTTGAAGTTTTTCCAAACTTCCCAGCTGAAGTTTGGAAGTTGCTCTATAGCATCTCCTAACACCTTTTAAGATGATGGGCTTGTGTTTGTTAGGGAGGGACTTTATAGGTTCACAGAAGAGCTAGTACTTGAAGGGACCTCTGGAGCATGTTGGGTCCGACCTTCTGTTGAAAGCAGGATCTTCGAGTAGGCTATGCAGGGCCCTGTCATACCAAGTCTTGAATGCTTGTAGCAAGGAAATTCTCTTCTAGGCTTCCTGAATCCCTTTCTTCTAGCCTTTCTTCAAGTGGCAAGTTCCCTGGCCTGCAGCTGACCCTGACCCTCAGGGCAGTGGTGTGGTTGGGGCTGGGAGCTGCAGGTGGAGAGTGACTGGAAAGGGGCTGTCAGGCAGACTTGGGGCTGAGAGAAGAGTTGTCTCCTCATGAATTTGTGTTGTGGGGAAGGAGGAGTTGGCTTAGGCAGAAGAGAAAGAATGCAGTTGTGCTGGGGATGGGAAGGGGCTGCCAAACTCGATGGAGGGCCAATTCTTGAATCCTCCTCTTGGGAAGGCTTGTTTTTGAAAAGGAAGGGCTGCAGCGCCAGGGCTGAGACTGAGCCTCGG